CCGCTGTGGGACTGGGAGGGAACCGCCGCTGTGCTGTGGGAGGCTCGGGGAGGGCGCCGGGTGCCCCCGTCTCAATGAAATTCATTCTCTTCTCTCGTTAGTGCTGGAGGGAGACAACTGCGTGTTCGATGGGATGATTTATCGCAACGGGGAGACTTTCCAGCCCAGCTGCAAGTACCAGTGCACCTGCCGGGACGGACAGATCGGCTGCCTGCCCCGCTGCAACCTGGACCTGCTGCTCCCCGGCCCCGACTGTCCCTTCCCCAGGAAAATCGAAGTCCCTGGAGAGTGCTGTGAGAAGTGGATCTGTGACCGGAAAGATGAAGTGATTTTGGGAGGTTTTGCTATGGCTGGTGAGGAAATTATAACTAATTATCACAGTCATTGTGAGGAGGAGGTGATTTCATACTGGAAATATCCATGGGGTTGCCAAATCTAAGATGCATTGCTTTGTGCGGTCAGTTTTTATCTAATGTTTTTTCTCATCTAGAGGCACTACTAAATATACTAGTGGCTGTGAGTGAAGGCAGAGATCTATAGGTAAAAGAAAAGATATTCAGAGGATGAATGTGCATAGCAGGTTTAAAAAGGTAGTTAACTTGAATTAGTTCCCAATTCTGAAATTGCTGTTGATCTGGTACAAGGTGGTTCCTGGAGTGGAATAAAACAGGGGCAAGCTCACAATCATCCAAACATTCCCCCTCCACCCGAAATCAAAGCTGCAGTCTTACTAGTTGCTCTGCAAGACTATGTTACATCATAAATACTATTCTAACAGCTTAGTCTACAAGAGACTTTTTTTTTTCCCCCTAAATTCCCCAGTTATTACAAGTGGTCAGCATGGTAGCTAAAATGCCAACAAATTCCTGCCTGTCTGTGCTAGAGCTCTCATCATTATTGTTGGCGTTAACAACATTACAAAGTACTTGGAGAAGCAGTGGTTATAAACATAGCGACTGAATCTGAAAAAAAAAAAATCCCATTCCAGAATGCAGAGCTTATAAAGTGCTTTTGTAATTGAAAAAAGCTACATAATATTTTCTCCCTGTTTTCTTACAGAATTATGTTTCCATACCCTTTAAATTAGACTATTAGTTCAACATGAATACTAAGCTATTTCTACTGAGAGCTGAGGGCACTGCATTCTCTTCCAGTCACTGCTCTTTGTGGGCTTAAGCAGTCAGTGATGCTGAAACTCAGCTAATCCATTGGAAAAACAAGTAAGGAAGGATCCAGAAAGAAAAGCTCTAGTAACTTTTCAGAGTGCTATGAAGTGTCACGTAAGGTATAAGCAAAAAGCTTGCCACCTTTCTCCTATTTTTCTTATTCTTTGATTTGTTTGACAGTGACAGGCTAATCCATAAAATGCCTACAGGTGGATTGTCTTAATTCTTTCTAGCAATGGCCATCCCTCTTGGGGGGCCACCTTTTAGGAGTTTTATCGGGCCAAAGGCAAGAATACTGTTGTAGAGGAGCATAACAGCAGGAGCTGTGACTGACAGCTCAGTCGTGTTGCCTCATGCTGTTTACTCCTGTGATTTTTTTACCAAACTATACAGTCAGCAATATTTGCATAATACAGCTTAACACTGCCATGAGGCCAGGACGACAATCAGAGTTGGCTATGGCTTTGAGTAGCTGTGATAACTCCTGGAAATTCCTTCCTTCCTCCCTCCCTCCCTCCCTCCCCACTATCACCCTGGTTATAATCTTTCAATAATTGACAAGATCAAGTGACTTAATGACTCTCAGAGTAAAGGACGTTACTTCTGTATTGTTTATTAGTTTAGATAAATCATTCAACCTCTCTCAAAGAATATCGAATATAAATATTGTTATGACATAGCGCTAGAACAGATTTGTGATGTATTTCCATTG